GGCAGTTTTTAAACCAAGTTAAAGCTTTATTTTTAACGCCATAATTTTCTATTTTTGTCGTTAAAATCTTATGGTTGACGGTGTCAAACGCCTTTGAAAAATCAATAAAGATTCCTAACGTGAATTTTTTATTGTTTAAATGATTTACTAATCCTATTTGAGAGATCAAGGATTGCATGCTCTGTTGCGTGTCGCTTTTGGAAACCGTATTGACCTTTATTAATAATTTTATTAGTTTTTAAATATTTATTTAATTTATTGTAGATAACTCGCTCAAGAAGTTTTGCGAATACCGAAAGGATTGAAATAGGTCTATAATTGTTTAAAGAGTTGGCTTCTCCTGATTTATAGATTGGTATAATTTTTGAGATTTAAGCAAATCAGGTACAATACCTGTTAATTTCATTACTGGGTGGTAAAGCAAAAATTAGTATAAATAATATCAAATAGTAGCTCTGAGAACCCGTAAAAAACGGGACTCGGTAAGTCTGTTTAAACCGACCATTTATATACATATTTTTTTCTTCAATATTTTTAAGTAATTGGTAAAAAAAACTATACACCATGTCTACCTTTTGAAATTATACCAATTCAATTGTATAACTTCAAAAGGTAGACATGATGTATAGTTTTTAAGGATTACTTAAAAATATTGAAGAAAGAAATATGTATATAAATGGTCGGTTTAAAATAGACTTACCAAGACCCGTTTTTTACGGGTCCTCAGAGCTAGTATTTGATATTATTTATACTAACTTTTGCTTTACCACCTAGTAATGAAATTAAAGAAAAAATAAGTTACATTAAAACAGCTACTAATACTAAGACAAGTCATAACAAGACGACTCTTACATAAACATTTAATTCTAACAATTAGACTATATATGTTTTCCACAGTGGTTTAGTGTATACTATAAAATATTTTCTTTCATCAAAGTTTGAATTATCCGTCAGGGTTCATCTTCACAACAAAAACCAAGGTAGCGAAAGTGGCGGTAGGACTGGAAAAATGAGTTTCTAATGGTATAATGATACTAACAAAAACAAGTTTGCAATAAATCCAAGACAAATTTAAATAAACGTTTAACTCACCTTCAATCCGTCGCAATAGCTCTAATTGACACTGGAATTTGTTATATGTCAGCAATTCGTCACCATCAACAATAGGTTGCATGAGAGTTACAGGGTTTTATTACCCTTTTTTATGTTTTAAGAGTTTAACTTTTGAATTATCATTGTTTAAATTTTTTACTACATTTATTTTTATAATTATAAACTACACGGCGTTTATTTATCTATGTTTTATGAATAAACATATTTTACTGTTTATATAACTTTAAAGGTGTTTGTTTTTGCAATTTTTTTAAAATTAAAAGGTTAATTAAAACAGAAGGAACTGTATAATTCTGATGCAAAAGGCAGTTCATTTATATAACTCTTTTACAGTTTCAAAGCTTTATATATAGCATCGAGTTAAGCAAACATGACATCAGTTTTCAAAGAAAAACAAATGTAGTCGGAAGAGTCTTTTTAAAACCAGTTTTTTTCTCCTAAATTATAATAAAAACTACTTGCATTCGTTTTTTAAAATTGAGAATATTTTAACTACTCTCCTTCAAAACAAAATAAATTTATTATTCAGGCCATGAAAAAGTCAAGTTTGTTGTTCACTGATATTAAATTAACTATTTGTAATACAAAAAATATTAATAATACAAAATAAAATTTTTTTTACAAAAGAAGTGATTGCTACATGTAACCCTCTTAATTTAAAATTATTTCAGTGCACGATAGAAAAAAAAAGAAAGAATTAAATTTACCCAGAACACCGTGGATGAGCATTTAATTGGAAGTTTACGCCTCCTTCCTAACCGATGTTGCAAAACTTGCCCGAAGTGGGGTTTGAACCACGATCCTTTGTTTCTGAGGCAAGTACCCAACCACTGCACCACGGTTGCTCCACTAACCCTGACCTAGCCCTATTGTCAGGATTTCGAATGATCTCTTGTTATTAGCGGATTGGGTTGTGTCAATACAGCGCACAATTAGTCTGTTCATCATCCAATCTGTATGTGGATGATCTATAAAAAAGGGTTGATTCAGGTTAATTTTAACAATATTATTATTAATTGGCTCCTTATTATTGTATAGTTTGTTAAAATTTTCTTGTTCTGTTACAGTTTTATTTTTTCGAGTGTATACTCCTCTGAACGCTTCCTCCTTGTGGAAGTTGTCATTTGGAGATAAGAATGATGTTTTTGTAGTTGCTTTTTTGGTTTTTCCATTGATTTTGTTTTGAAGATCATAAATCTCATAATTGTGCTATTGTCTGATCTCGGTTGTGAACACCATTAATTTTATTTTGATCATTTTTACGACTTTGCTTTGTTGTTTTTGACAGTACTCCTTGAGTCGCCGGGTCTGGGGGCCCTCATTGACAATAATTTGATTTTTGTTTCATTGTACTCGTTTTAATTAGTTTTTTATGTAAGTTTATATTGGACTACCTGTTGTGAGTTATTTTTATTTACTTAACTATTTGTTTAATCTTATTAACACAAATTCTATGAGAAGGTTAGAATTTTTTTTTCGTGTACTATATCTGTGATTTTTTTGCATATATTATCTATATATATTATTTATTTTATCTGTATATATATTTATTTATATACTAAATGCGTGTAATTTTTTTTATGGTGCATTAAAATATATGCAGAGAAAATCAATTTTTTTTCCCCACCAAACGGTATCAATTTTTTGCCCATCAAACTGGTGACGACTATCTTTTATAGTAAAATATATAACTAAGTTAATGATGCCTTTAAAATCAAGATTTGTAAAATGTCTTCTCGTGCATCTTATGCATCTTTAAATATATTTTAGAAAACTTGTTAGGTTTTCACATATTCACAAATATTTTAATAAAAAAATATTATAAAACTTAAAGGTACAATATTATGAAGAATTGTAAATTTATCACAGGTATAAAAAAAAACTTTGCGTTATTAAATTTTCTGCTAAGATATTCCCATGTCTTACCTTAACTCATACAACATTTCATTTCTCTCCTACTTATAAGCTTTTCATTTTACTATAGAGGAGAGTGGGGAGAAGGGGTTTGGTGATAATGCATTTATATAAATATGGATTATATGGTAATATATGAACGTTTTGTAACGCTATTTATTATAAAGCACTTAATGCAAATAATTTTTACTTCAAAATAATTAAAATTGTTTTTCTAATGCCTCACCTAAAAATGGATTTTGTTTTTTAAGAGGATTTTGCCCCGCTGAGTTTTGCAAATGTCGAATAAATTTCCTATTTTAGCATGTCTTATCTTTTTATACATAAATTAGTAATAATTTTAATCTTAAGTCTGTTCTATTTTTTTTTTATTTATTCAAGTTTGGCTGTTATCGAGAAAACTTTTGAAAGTAAAACAAAAATAATAAAGTACGCACATCATTTTTGCAACATTTATCAAACAAATTTGAGATCACAGAATTTCTTAATTTGAGTCAAAAATGGGAATATTCAATACAGTGAGTTTTAATATTTAAATAAAAAGTAAACTTGCCTTGATATTTTAAATTTAAATTTAAAATGTTATTATTATTATTGCGAATAGTTTCATATATTTTACTTTAACTACTTTCAGATAACTTTAAATTAAAAATAAATAAAAAAATTAATTTAAATTTCAAAATTGAAAAAAATGTTATGCTATATTGATCTAAGTAACATGTTTAACAACTATATATATAACAAGATAAATGCATAATTACATAAATTTACGTTGTATGTAGGGCTTGGCAACCAGTGGAAACCGATAGAATAACCGTTTTTCGTTCAGTTTTTTCGAAACTGAAAACTTGAAAACTGAACAAAAACGAAAAACTATTTGTTTTTCTTTTCTCAAAAAACAAATAGTTTTTTTTTTATTTAGGTGCCCTAAGAAGTCCTTACAATCTTATCACAGCGCACCGCAGATGAGAATTTAATAGGAAGTTCACCCCTTCTTCCTAAGCGATGTCGTAAAACATGCCCAGAGGTGGGGTTTAAAGCACGGATACTTATTTCTGAAGTAAGTGCGTTGCACTGCGCCACGGCTGCTCAACAGTTCGAAAATAGATAAAAAGTTCGAAGATTTTTTGTTTTGTAAAGCTAACAAATAACGTGGAAAGCACTAATATCGTATATTTGGAATAGAGAATAGTATATTTGGTTATATTATAATTAAAAATAGGTTATTTAGTTACGACAAAAAACTAAGGATTAAAAAGATTATACAAACCGATGTAAAACCGGTTATTCGGTTTAACAATTAAAAAAAAAAATCGGTTTTTAAAAATATTCCGGGTTTTGCAAAACCCCAGTAGATGTGCGTAAATTTAAAGCGGTCGCCGTAATATATCGAATATTGTAAAAAGTCTTTAATAAGACAATTTGAAAAAAAAAAATTTAATTAAAGGGAAAGACTAAAATTAATTTACAAAAGATTAATCCAAAAAAAAAAATTTTATGATATATACATAAACTTTAATGTTTAACTATAATGATATATAAAAACTTTAATGATATATATATATATATATATATATATATATATATATATATATATATATATATATATATATATATATATATATATATATATATATATATATATATATATATATATATATACACTTCATACTTCATAAAACTAAAAACCAGTGTTTTAATCCACTCACCTAAATATGGATTTTTTTTTTTTTTTTTTTTTTTTACTTCTCTAGAAGATTTAGCCTCGATGAATTTTGTAAATGTCGAAAACATTTAAAAGTTAGCTAATTTAATGTGTGTTATTTTTATATACATAAATTTGCAATAATTTAATCTAATCCTAAAACTGCTTTTTTTTATTATTATTAAACTTTTAATGCTATTAACAAGTAAACACTATTTTTGAATGAGGCAACAATAGAATTTTAAGTGCATTTCCATTTAACAAACAGATTCCTCATTTAACAAAAAAAAGTTGAAACTTTTAAATTTTGAGTCGCAAATGAGCATAGTCGCTAAAGTAAGTTTTAATTTTTAAATAAAAATTGGATTATCATTTTAAATATTTTTTGTGTTTAAATTTAAATTTATAATAGTTTAAATTATAAAACTATAATAACAATAACAATTTTTATCATTTTCATATATTATCTTATAATTTTTTTGATTTTGTAAAAAAAATGTAATGCTTTTATATGTTTATTATATTATAATTTTTTTGATTTTGTTTAAAAAAGTAATGCTTTCATATGAGTTGAACTTGTCTTCTGCTGACATTCGTAATAGCCCCTCTTATAGCCGGAAGAAAATAAATCATAATACCAATTGTTGACCCGGTTCATGTGACCACATTCACGGAAAAAATAACTTTCATTAGTTACTTTTCATTAGTTACTTTGTTTTATGAAGTAAAGATAATTAAAATAAGATAATTGTTTTATAACAATCGGAATAGAGAGTTTAAAAAACCGCACGCTTCTATAAATAACAATTGTTGTTAATCTTAATAATTTTTGGTCACTTGGTCACATTGTCAATAGAAAATATTCCTTTATAGCTTCTATTTACTATAGCTAAACATAAAAGTTTATAATGTAAGGCAGATACTGCTTTTTATTATTAAAAAAAACCGTTGAAAATGACGATACTACAATATTTTTGGCAAATACTAAACGGTATGCACCTTTTTTAATTTATCAATTTGAAGTTTATTTAACATTCTAAATACAAACAAAGTTTAAAAATGTAGAACCAAATAAATCAACTTTGGATGTTGTGCGTTATTATGAAAACGCTTTTTGAATAAATATGTAATATAATAACGTTCTTCATTTTCCCTTAAACGTTCTTCATTTTCATAAACTACTCAATTTCTTTGCTTAAATGACGAGTGATTTTCCTTCTTTTAATGTTGGTTCAAAAATCTTTTTTTTTTTTTTCTTTTTTTTCTTTTTTTTATTAATTCACTTCCTCAAGGCCGAGAAGGCCACTACAGTCGAGGAGGCTACTTATTTGTGGTTATAACCCTCTCTCAAACGCGAGCTTTGACAAAAAAGGCCGCTGCGCGGAGAAACGAATTGAGCGCAGTACTACCACGGAAGTGGTGGGGAACGAACTCGGAACCTCTCGCTTATAAAACGAGCGCTCAACCACTGCACCATTACCACATGCGGTAATAGTGCAGTGGTTGAGCGCTCGCTTCATAAGCGAGAGGTTCCGAGTTCGTTCCCCACCAAAATTTAGGATTTCAATTTTTATTTTATATTAATTTAGGATTTACCAATATCACTTTTAAAATACTTACAAAGATGCGCGCATTTTTGTAAGTATTTTAAAAGTGATATTGGTAACTCGATATTAAAGTTTCATTTTCTTATTATAAAATTGTACTTTTCTTTATATAATAAAAAAGAAAATAATAAAACCCTAAATTATTATTAAATAAAAATTGAAATCCTAAATTTTAAATTGCACTCTTTTATTGAAAAATTTCTTACGACTTATCCAGGACCTCAACGAAATTTTTGTCAATTTACCTCACAACAGTAAAACTGCACTACTTTTTTACTGTCAGTAAAATCTTTTTTCTAGGTAAAACAGTAGCCCAATCTTTTTTCTAGGTAAAACAGTAGCCCAATCTTTTTTCTAGGTAAAACAGTAGCCCAATCTTTTTTCTAGGTAAAACAGTAGGTTACTTTTTTTATAAGTAAAACAGTGGCAAATTTTTTTCTAGGTAAAAAAATCCCCTGAAATTTTTTTTATCAAAAACATTTTTTTGTCATATTGCAACAAATTTTAATAAATAGCTAACTAGCCCCGTGAAAATTTTGCCAACTTAACCCAAAAGCAATAAACAGCCTATAGATCCTTATAAACAGCAACTGTTGAAAAATAAAATGTCTGGAAATAATAAACCAATTGTGGCTAGAAACTTTACAACAGTTTATTTTTTCATACGACCAACTGTTTTTTTTTTTTGTATAGTAAAAAGAAAGCAGTGTACCAAAAGTTTCGCTTTTTGCCAAAAAAAACCAAAAAGCAAATATCCTAATATCTCCTGTGCAACATCTCCAGTGCAAAAATTATTACAATACTATATTCTTTTTATATGAATAGTATTTAATATGTTTAGTTACTGTTTAATGTGTGTAATTAGTGTAAATAATTATATTATATATAAATTATTATTTTGTTGTGTCAGAAGAAACGTTGTGGGTATTATATTGTATATAATGTTTATAATGTTTGTTATACCTTTGGGGGTGTTTGCAAATGTATATATATTGAGTAAAGATATTCACAAAGACAGTAAGAAAAAACAAATATAGATTTATTATTGCAAGCTATTTGGCAATGAGCATAGTGATAAAGTTTGTGGATTTGGTTTCGCAATACGATGGTCCGGGTGACTTCTCAGAACGGATACAGAAATTGGAACTGGTAGCAAAACTTCAAAAAGTTGACAGGCTGCTTATGTGATCCCCTTATTTCTTTCTGGCGAGGCGCTTGCCGTTTATCAAGGTCTTGGTGATGAGATAAAGGAAGATTATGATGAAATGAAAAATGCACTGACTACTGCCTTCTCTGCTTCTTCGCTAACAGCATACGAAGAGTTCGTAAATCACCGTCAAAGAGAACGAGTCCGTTGACGTTTATCTCGCAGAATTAACAAGGCTGAGCAAGCTAATATAATTTCACGTAAACAAAAAGTGGATAAGGTGCGTGTTTATCCTAGGATTACCTGACGAAGCAAGAAAACAGCTGCAAACTTCATGCTCAATATTAACAATGTTGCCGACCAGATCGCTGAAAAATCAAGAAGTTTGGTAATCTTACATCGCAAAGAATCGTGTTTTGTCAGGTGCGTGAATCCTGTTGGGTCATGGAACGTTAGAAGTGCTTTTAACGTTCATGGGTCATGGAACGTTAAAAGCACTTCTGAAGAAACAGTGTGATGCAATGCAAGCAGTTTAGCTGTTGACATAGTAGAAGACTATTCGTGGCTGAGAAAACAAGCTGATATGCCTCATATTAATCTGGCAAAGTTAGAAGCTGTGATAAAAAAAATTAATCTAGCAACAAAACAGGGATTCAAATGTATTACCATAAAGTGCAACTCGCCTACTGTTGTCTGCTGGTTGAACTCCTTAATAATTGGTGACAAACCCGTTCGCGTTCACGGTCTTGGAGAACCACTAGTCCGTGGCCGGTTGTTGTTAATTGAAGACCTTGTGAAAGAGTGCAGTATAAAACTAAAACTTTTCCTGGTAAAGTCAGTAGAAATTAAAGCTGATGCTTTTACAAGGGTACCAAAGAACTGGCTGCATTCACACCATTTTGCAATGATAGCAAATGTCGTACCGCCTGATGTGAAGTCGTTTCATAATCTTCATCACTTTGGAGTCAATCGAACCCTTTATTTGATAAAACAGACATATCCGAAGGTGAAAGTTTGTAGAAAAAACGTTAAATCAATTGTAAAAAGTTGCGAAAGATGTTTATAAGTGGATTCTGCACCAATTAGATGGGAAGAAGGAGATCTTCAAGTTGGAAAGAGCTGCCACCGTTTAGCTATTGACGTAATCCACTATAAATCAGAGATTTATTTGTCTATTATTGACTGTGGCAAAAGGAGCAAGCTTTCAATTTGGAGAAAGCTACACAACGAAAAAGAAACAACAGTGGGCTACCATTTAGAATAAATGTTCAGAGAAAGAGAACCTCCGTGGCAGGTTCTACTTGACAACAGCAAGACTTTTCGCTCAAAACTCCTTGGTGAAATATGCGCAAAATGGGAAGTATTCATCCTGTTTTATTGCGCTTAAAGGCCATTTGGAAATGGAATAGTTGAACGTCATCATCGCACAATCAAGAATATGGCAGCCAAAAGTGATAAAGATCCGTTAAAAATGCTATATTGATATAACTTGGCTCCCGAAAAAAATGGCGAGGAAACATCGCTTCCCTACAAAGCTATATTTTCTTATGAGTGGAAGCCACACACAATTTCTGTCAAAATTAACGAGGAAGTTCTCCACAACTGTGCACAAGGACAAGAAGTGTTTGTAAAACCACCTGACTTAAAATGTATGACCGAATGAAACATAAGAAGGCTCTCAGTTGAAAGACGAGGAGTTTCGGTAGAATAGATTGCCGAGACACATGTCGGACATCCGTGCTGCTCCCATTGTAGCTGACTTGTCTACTAGAGAATTGGAAGAAACCATCGCTGATAACCTGAATCTCAGAAGATCAACGCGTGTGTGGAAGTTTCCGAATAAGTATGCAGACTTTATGATCTAGAGATCAAGGGGTGTTGTAATTAGTGTAACAAGTTATATTATATATAAACTGATATTGTGTTGCGTCAGAAGGAACGTTGTGCGTGCGTCATATATTATATTGCCTATAACGTTATATATTATAACCTCGGGGGTATTTGCAAATGTATTGAGTAAAGTTATTCACAAAGAAAAAACAAATATAGATTTATTATTACTATGTGCTTGTTAAGATTGTTTTTTATTATCCAGGGTAGTTTATTTGACTAAAATTGACGTCAAAATAAATTGTTTTAACGTGTGCAACTTTGATTTGATATATCGCAAAACCCAGGTAATACAGCAGTTAGAATAAAAAGTAATTTTATATTTTTGGGCAAAGTTTAAAGACCAAATTTTCAAAGTTAATAATTTTTATTTCCTAATGATATAGCCACCATTTTGATTAATGACCTTTGCCATTCTCGCAGAATTTTTTAGATTTCTGAGCAAAAAAATGCTCATGTTGTATTGAAATTCGATGGTGCTAGATCATGTGAATAGTGCGGGTAAGTTAAAATATCTCTAAAAAATATCTCTATTAAAAAGACACGGGAAATTGAGCATTACCTTGATGAGTTTTGAATTATGGCTCCATAACAATTAGCCAACTTGGGCTTTTTTTATCAATTGCTGCAATTGGAACGTTTTTCCTTTATTGTTTCAGTCGATCAAGTTGAACACTGTATCTCTCCAAAAT